TAAATGGCGTCAATGCATATGGATGGAATAAAATGTTTGATTTAATTTTTATTTATCTCCCCTTTAGACTCAGAAGTTTTTTAACAATATAATATTAGTACAGTAGTTATAAATAGCATAAGGAATTCATGGCATTTTTATATCAGAACCGGAAATAGCTAGGTATAAGAAGTATAATTTTTTTACTCATATAGAGTGGTCACTATACATCTGAGAAGACTTCAGAGTTAGGCATTTACTCAGCTCTCTTGATCAGAGCAACTGAGCAGTGAGAAATCTTTATCCAATCTTGATTGATTGAAGTTGAAAATTTTAAACAACTTACCTTAAACTACAATCGCCCTGTCCAATATAGACTTCTGACAATACATTAATATTTTGTGAAATGTTCTTTATGGTTTTAACTGTAATGATTTCATCATTTATGTTGCAGATCTCTTTGCAATGTTTTTCAAGTCAAGGTTTTGTCTCAAAGGCTGTTTTTGACATAGAGGTAACAAGTTACACTTGACCTTTAGATCAATAAAGTATATGTAACTATCTAAATTTTAATCACATTGTTGAAAGTGAGCAAGAAAAAAAATCAAAATCTAATGAAAGCTTTTAGATTTTTAAATAAAATAAATATCAGCAAAAAATTTTTTCTGATTAAAATGTTTGAATTTTTCTTATCATATACCTCCTTTAAGAGTGAATAAACATTTAAGAATATTCTTGATCTGATCTAGTGTGTTTCTTTTTTCTTCAGCCTTGTCAGCTACATAGACTAGACACTGGGCCGTCAACTAGATGTTCTCTCACGAGGAAGGATGCCCTTAATTATTTTAAGAGCATGACGGGAATGAGAGAGATAGGGAACGCAGCAGAGAAATTGTTTCATCAAAATTATATTCGGGGACTTCTTCATTTGTGCCCAGGAATGGTAAAACATTTCCTCTTTTATGATACCTTGAAATAACTTGCAAGAACTTGTTTCCGATCCCTTTGATTTAATTCAATAAAATATGTTAAAAACAAATATATAGAGATCAAGCTCAAACGATCTTTAAGGTAGGGTTCTTCTCACACAAAATTGTTTTCCTTGTCTTTGAAAATTAAGGAAATTTTCGAAGAATCAAGAAGACAATATTACTAAGTGATGGTTTCAGTTAGACTAGTTATGACCATTCTATATTTGTGTCAAGGTCACGTCAAGTTAATTACCTTTTCCCTAGTCATTAAGAATGAAAAAAATACTGCATACAATCATGCGATAGGGTTCTCTTTTCTAAATATTAAATGTTTCTCTTTTTGCACAAAAAGATGTTACCATATAAGGCCTATTAGATGATATTACCAAATTGACACAATATAGTTTAACAAAAATGGATTTTGGCTAATCCGAATTTTCAATTTTTTCTTAATTTTTTCAGGATATATTAATTAATTTTATATTTTAAATTTCCTTATTTTCACATATATATGGTAAACAAGATGTGTTTGTGAAACACTATGTGCCCGGCGGCAACAAAGTTAAAAAAACATATTTTTAACATACAGGTCACAGTCAAGGTCAAAAGGTCATTGATCTTGGTGTCATTTTAAAGAACTTGATTAGTGAAGTATGCATACCAAATATAAAGTCTCTATCTCTCACGGTTCAAAAGTTATGTTGAAAAGTCAAAAAAGCTATTTTAAGCATATAGAACACAGTCAAGGTCACAAGGTCATTGACCTTAAGGTCATGCAAAGGGGCTTAATTAGTGGAGTATACCTGCCAAATATTAAGTCTCTATCTTTCTTCGTTCAATAGTTATGGCGAAGGTTAAAGTTTGCCGACAAAAAACTAAATTAAACGTATAGGTCACAAGGACATTGAAAATGGTGTCATTTAAAAGATCCTAATCAGTGGTGTATGCATAGTTAATTAATATGAAGTCTTTATCTTTTATGGTTCAAAAGTTATGGCGAAGGTTAAAGTTTGCAGAAAAAAAAACTATTTTTAGCATAAAGGTCACAGTCAAAGTCACAAGGTCATTGACCTTGAAGTCGTTTGAAAGAGTTTAATTAGTGGAGTATGCATACCAAATATGAAGTCTCAACCGTTCATGGTTCAAAAGTTATGGCGAAGGTTAAAGTTTGCAGACAAACAGACAAGCAGATAAACAGACAGACAGACAGACAGCTAGACAGACAGGACAAAAACAATATACGCCTCGGATCTTTCGATTCGGGCGCATAAAAAGTCATATGAAGATACAAAATAATACGAAAATAAAAAACTCCGTTTACTATATTAATTTTAAGTTGTTCAATTGTGATGAGAAAAAAAAAAACAAATATGATCGTTAAAATATCTTACATCTAAATATAGAAGAGATACAAGCAAATAAACATTGAATATTTCATCTAGTCAGAAACCAGAGAAGAGATTGGATCAGGTGCTATGAAGGAGTGACACTCTGAAGTCTTATATAAGAAGTTGCTATGTTGTTTTATTTCATTTCATTATACGCCTTAGAAAATTCCCAATTAAAAAAAAAAACATTGACTTATCTTTCATTTGCCCGTCAGCCTTAATTTAAAGTACATGTAACTTGGTCCCATTCGTTTTAATTTTGGCATTGATACTTCTCAGGAAAAACGTGAAGGCAAGTAAGGAATGTTTGCACATTGATGAAATTGTTATTGTTGTTTGACTAGTTTCTCAGAATTCATAAAAAATGTAAAACCACAGCCAGAATATGCTGACATATTACCATAAGGATACAGTCCTGCATTTTAATGCAATAAATTTCAAAATTGTGTTTACCCTAATGTCCTTTTGTGGCCTTTTACGCGGCAGGGAGACTTAATTTAAATATATACAATTAAACCTAAAGACCCTTCGGTTACACGGACATAAAATTAAAAATCGAAAAGTACAGCACAATATACAAGTATTAACTGTATCTAAAGTTTTTTTTTCTTTCCTGCAACAGGAAGCTGTTCGCACTGGAGTGGTAGGGGCAATAACAGAAGAGGACGTTTTGGTTGGCAATTACCGCACCCACGGCTGGGCTTACGCTAGGGGAGGTTCGATAGAGGGGATTCTTGGTGAATTTTTAGGTAAAAAAAGCTATCAAGGAAAATTCAATCTTACAATGATTGGTTGTTTGCTGTTTTACCTCTCATTCTAACAGTTTTTTTCATTTACAAAGAGACGTCACCTTACGTGTCATTTTAACAGGTAAAATTTGAATCATACGTGAAGAAAGTTGTTTATATTTTAATCGTGTAATTGGTAGCATCTTACTTATGGTTTTTTTTTCGATAGGGAAGTCAACTGGTTACTGTAAGGGAAAGGCTGGATCTCAACACCTTTACTTGTACAATATGCTTGGAGGGAACGCAATAGTCGGATCTTCGGTATTTCATTCTTTACGATGAATAATGTGTTTTGAATACTATTTACATCGTTGTTTTCTTTTGATGTAAAATTGATCGCATGTTTTCTTTTCAAATAACAACTCTTGACTTAATTAAAGCAAATCAGATTTATGTACGATTACTTAAATTTTGCTCAGACAGCTTTTGAATTGTAGTTAACTGCAACACCTCAAAAATTATTTTAAAAAGTTACTAACTAATTCTAAATAAAAAGAAATATATACTGAATTTTGAAAAAAAATACTATGAATACTCTGATGTGATAAAGGTGCATCTGTTTGAATGCGTTGTACTCTTATTTTTTTTACATCCTGCAAAGTAGTCGCTATTGCTTTGAAAAAAATCTGACTACTGTAAAATCAAATAAAATCATGGGGGATTTTTATTTTTTAATTTTTTAGGAGGATTGAGGAATTAAATAAATGTTGGTTCATGGGGATTTGATTTCTTGGTTAGAAAATTTTCAGTAGTAATACATATAAAAGTTTCTTTTCGCGGAAGTCATTAATTTGTGTGTCTCTCCATACATAAAAAAAATAAATTAAACCTCTCCGAGATCTAGTACGAGGGGTGATCAAAAAGTTCGCGAACTAATTGAATAACTTCCAAAAAAGAAATGATAAAGGGTTTTTGGAGTTGAAAATATTTCAAAGTAGTCCTCCCCAAATTTAATGCATATCTGCAACCATTCTGCTTAGGCGCGGATCACGTTATATAGGCGGTCACGTGACATGCTCCTTAGCGTTCTGTCACAGAAGCTTAAAATTGTGTCCGACTCTAATATTTCTTACCATGCAGGTGATTTTTTCCAACAAAAACAGTCAGAAATGGTCTAATCTCGGCAATAGTATGGATGGATAATATTCTTTTGCAGAATGAGAATGGTGACCATCAAAACCCAAGTCCTCTGTCTTTTGAGCGTCGTATATTTCATGTAGATAAAGTATGGGTGCCTTTACTTCATCATATCTGATATGTTTAAAGTCTAAAGTAAACGATATTTTAGGAATTTGATAATTTTATTATTGATAAGATATTCATCTTTTTTTCTAACTGTCAGTTGGCGATCATTCATATCAAATTGCTTTACAAAGGATACGTCTCCCAGTTTGCTTTTACTGGCCATGGGCAACAGAACAAACATCATTTTTAAACATCTCCTTCCCTTTACTTAAACAATCAATCCAATTAATTTCAAAACTTCAAGCAAGTCTTTTGTCTTCATAAACCGGACATTAATTATTATAAACTTCTACAAATGAATTTCCAAGATATAAGTTTAACTTTACAGCTGTTCGTTTCGAATACGAATGAGTCAACCATTTTTTGTCACAAGTGATCTACCTTATGACGTCATTTTCACATTGTGACGTCACAAACACGGGAAAAACGTTCCGTTACATATACTATTTATAGAACATGTGTATGACTTTTTGTGTGCCAAATTTCATTCTGATCTGTATTGTAGTTTTGTAAATATAGAGATAGTTCGCGAACTTTTTGAATGATAACATTTGAAAAAGTGAAAAAGAAATTTTTAAAAAATTCAAATGGATTTCATTTTATGTAATTTGTGTAATGATTCTTCAAAAGGTACCCCTGGGAACTGGCGTTGGTTTTGCAATGAAATATGAAAAGAAACCTAACGTGTCTATTTCTATCTACGGAGATGGTGGAGCCAACCAAGGCCAAATATTTGAAGCCTTTAACATGGCCAAACTTTGGAACCTTCCTTGTATATACCATTGTGACAACAATGGTTACGGTTATTCAACAAAGGCAGAGAGGTCCACAGCCATGACAGATTTATACAAAAGAGGAGATTTCATTCCAGGAATAAGAGTAAAAATTCTAAGTAATTTAAAGATTTATTTATACAAACATGTACATGTAAGTTGATTAAATATGACAAATAAATAGATCTTTTGATTTCATGCAATGTATATTTCTGTCTTATGTAGAAAAAAAATGTGCTTCAAATATTGTTATACATCTAAGAAGAAGAAAAAAACGGCTTGACTTGATAAAAGTTTACACTGTTTATGCATAGGTTGATGGTATGGACATTTTGGCTGTTCGAGAAGCCTTTATTTTTGCCAAAAACTATGCCTTAGAACATGGCCCAATTCTAGTAGAAACAATGTCATATCGATACTCCGGACATAATGCAAAAGACGAAGGGACCAGGTAGTTTATCTTTACTTATTTATCTATCTCTATAATGTTCTTCTTAGAATTTCTTATAAGAGATGACTGAAAAATCCGTGAAGATAAAAACGTTTCGTATAAAGATAAAACACTGTGTTTTAACAGTAAAATTATTTACAATTTTGTTAATTGATGCCACTTTTCCCTGATGTCATTATTAAATTGTTTCTAGGCAAACTTTCTGACCTTTTCAAACCACTATAAACCACAAACTCTAAAAGATACTTACTTGACATTTTCAATATTAAGTGATGTGACCTTTAACAAAAATACAGCAAGTAATCTCCTTGGAATGGTCTGATATACGTTTCTGCTATACGGGACAGTTAGATAGGACCAAATGTTCAAAACCTCAGCGAGGAAATCAACTTTGGATTTAATTGCTGGCAGTAATTTTTCAGCCGAATTTTGTGACCTATTGCTATCTGTTTTCGTCCATTGTCGTGCGTTAGCATTTGAACATTTACAGCTTCTTCTCTGCAACCGCTAAACCAATTTGAACTAATTTTGGCATAAAGCATCTATGGGTAAAGGAAAACAAAAATTGTGAATCTTATGGTCCCTGCTCCCCTTGGGACTGAGGGGTGGGCCATAACCACTAAGATTAATGCAATCTTTACAAATCTTCTTCTTTACTCCTGGACATCAAGCAGTCGAACTCTTGGAATGATTGTAATCAGCATTGAGTCCTATATAAAAATTGTAAAATTCATAGCCCCAAGATCAGGGTTCTAGTGCTAGAACAGGGCTAAATAGATTATATAGTGAAAATGCATTATTTATTTGAAAATCTTCTCTGGTCCTGGGCATTTAAAAAAAGAACCAAGTACATAATTATGTTGAATAAGACTGCTTCTTCCAAAATTGTGGATTCATGGCCCCAGGGTTTGGGGTTCTGGTGTAAGGGTGGGGCTCTATTGATTATATAGTGAATATACATTAATTCTTTAAAAAATCTTCTTCTCTGCTCCTGGGTATTAATATTAATAAATGTTTGTAACCCTCTCATTAATCAGACTCTTCCTACCTTTATTAGAGCTTTTTTCCATTCAGAGACCATATCCTTCCCCATTATCATATATCTTCACAAACCGAAAATTGCAGATTTATTCACAGAAATTATGTCCGCCAAATCACTTTGTTTTTCGCCTCGTAGTTACAATCTAAATCCAGTTTTCTTAGCTCATCTGACATTTCTTGTCGTCTGCTCTCCATCATTTACAACGAAAACACTAAAGAGTTCAAACAGGGGAAGCAACTGAAAATTGGGTGCAAGGGGAAATCATCGTTCATATAATTTTTACCCAACGAAATTGTATGTTAAATATGTGCTAATTTAGAATTACATCTCAAAACCAAAGAGAATAAAAACAAACAACAAAACTTCGGGAAAAAGTTGCATCAGTATTTGCATGTCACTGTAGTTGCAATTTGCTAAAAAATGTCTTTCTTGTGAAAATGTCCTTTTCATTCAGTTGCTTTAATTTTTCTAATCTTTTCTAAAGGTATTAATATAATTTGTATTTTGAGCTTAAGCAGAAATTGATAATAATGGGGACATATGAGTGATGCATAATTAAAATCAAAGATGTTTTTTTTATATTTTAAATCTAGTCGCCTCCACGCTTATTGTTGGTTATAATCAAAGATATTCCTTTTTTTATATCTATATTGATGGAGAATGTTTAATTCCATAAATTACTTTTATCTACAATTTGATATAGTTACAGATCCAAAGACGAGATTAACCTGTTTCAACAAAGAAAGGACCCCATTAAAAATTTCATGAATAGGATTGTGAACAAAAATTTGGCAGATGAAGAAGAATTAAAGGTACAATTTAGACATGCTCTAATCCCTTTTATTTAGATATCTAATAAAGGAATATATATGGTCTATTTTTAACATTTATGGATATAGTTTTTTTTTCTTTTTCGTCGTATAGCTAATTCATCGAGCAATCAAAGAAGAAGTTCAATTAACAGTAAAGAAGGTCAAGGGCAAAAATGAACTCCCACTAACCCATCTTTACGAGGATGTTTACAAGACTCTAAATTATCATTTATAATATATGAGTCCGACTTTTTTTAAAGATATGTTTTTAAGCAGTCGCTCAAGATAAAAATTTATTTTATACAATGTAGTGTGGAATCATCAATGTTCTTGGGGAGCCGATGTTCGTGGATTTCTTAGGTCACCCTTATCCACGAATTTACATCCTTCCGAACATTTATTTGTCAGCACAAGGTATTTATATATTGAATCCTCTGTATATATATATGTTACCCACGAAATCATGTCTCCACGAACCAACAAAATTTTGCTTACTAACGAACATTAACCCCTACGAATTATAATGATACACCAGTATTTCTCACTTTATAATTACAATTGCCATGTATATGGGATAAAAGCCATGCGACTTTATAAATTACATATGTTTGACAGCATCGATCAGCAACTCCTCCTTCCTTAAAAAAACACAACTTTTTACCTTACTTTAGATGACTACTTCACTATATAACTATTGTTTCAAAAAATACATATATCGTCAGTTTTAGCTTCTCTAAAAATCTAAATCTGAGAGTGGTCAGCTTTTTATTTGCTATTAGCAATCATGCAAAAAGCAATGCAGGGATAGTAATACTGCGAAATAATCCAACATTCAGTAAGAAATACAAATTTTCAACCCCGTAAAGCTAAAATGGATATTAATAAAGTTTAAATTATTAAAAATAATCAATTGTTGACTTTTTTAGTACGTGATTTCAAACAATCCATTTAAAAGGGACAGTCTACATCATCCAGTTTGGAATACCGACCCATCTGTATTTTCACAGTACTTAAAATTTCACTTTTAGTGGTAACGGTATTTTAAAGATTTAAAGTACATTGTAATGAGTTCATGAACGAGTATAGTTGCTAATTATTAAACCCCTGCCTCTCTTAATTCAAAGCACATAAGCTGAATTTTACACTCTGCAGTATATTTTGCAAAGTAGATCAAAAATCAAGGTCACGTAGACTGTAACGCTGGTATTTTTTTAGAAAATGTTTGATGGCAAACAGTGGACATGCTAAATAGCGTAAACTTACATCTCTAATGTTAAAAAGAAGTTGTTTATTGGCCCTGTCAATTTTTTTCAAAAAATAGGTCAAGGTCGAGTTTAAGGATAGCTAGGTCGGTAACCATGGTAAAATAAAAAAAAGCGACAGTGCCAAGTAATAAATACGCAAACTATCAAATCCATATCTCATACAGTTCTCGAGATTGAGGGTGTGACAGACGGGCAGACAAACAGACGGCGTGTAAAGTGATCCCTAAGTGCCCCTCTGCTCTGCAGGAGGTATATGTATGGAAAAAGGGGTTTTAATGTAAAAAAGCATATACAATTAACTCAAGTTCCCAAAAATTATGAAAATTAAAGGAAATTCGCTTTAATGAATATCTATTTACTAAGTAGTTAACTTATCTCAGTTTCTTGGTACAATCTGAATGACACTTTGTCGTATCATTTTAAAAATAAACATGATATTAGTAATTTCAGTTAAGTGTGAAGTTTTGCATTACGTCACGATCTTTTCCGACTGATGCATCCAGCGTAAACAATTCAGGCTCCCGCTGTGTGATTGGTCAACTCAAATTATCAACATTGACACGGAAATAGACAGTGGCACGAGCAACCAATCAGGGATTAGAAGAAACTACCAGTCGTAAAGCTTGTGGTTAGGAGGCGTGTACTATTTACCTTAAGTGCAGCTGTCATCATATGTTGTGACGTAATGCAAATCTTCACACTTAACTGAAATTACAAATAAATGATTTTGAATAAAAATCATGGTTGTTATGTTCAATGTCTTGCAACACCACATACTCACATAAACATGAGCAGCGCAAATTACATATAATATTTTAATAATTCATAACTCTGGTTACATTAGTATTTTTAAAGAGGGGCAATGGCTCTTGTCCTATTTTGATTTTTATTGAAATCTAAGGAACTAAAAGAAATGCCCTTGACCTTACCCTGCTTCTAAAATTGAATGGTTAAATTTAATCTTACTGAAACCGTCACTTAGTTATGTTGTTTTCTGAAAACTGTGAACATTTCATTAATTTTTATATACTGTAAGTAATTTTTACATACTGTAAGTATGAGAAGAATCCCTCCTTAAATGTAGAATTACAAAATTAATGTTGGGAAAGTCAACTAAAAAGTTGAAATGTCAAGCATTAAGTAGCCCAAGGCGCACAGTGGTTGTACCACATTCGCTCTAGATAAGCGGAGCTAGAGGTTTATTCTTACGTGACGGTTCGAATCCCAATGAACAAACCGTTTAAACTTATTCATAATGCACCTAGTTTTCTGTTAGGATGGAAAAACGATGTAGCTAAATAACCTAAAATTCGAAAAGTAGGTCGTAAAATACTAGGTAACACTTAAAAAAGGAAGAAAGGATATTCGATCTTGAGACTCTAAAGGACTCTTACATATATATTGTACATATATCATTTACAAGTGAGCTTAAACAACTTAATCGTATGATGCTAAGTCTATTGCGAGGCGATGAGCTTTAACTTGTAATTAATTTCAATGCTTCATCTTTTATCTAATTTTCACCATTGTAATCCATTAATATATCGATACGCCCTTGCTAATATTAAAGCTCTCTGTCTTCTCATGTCTTCTGATACAATATTTCATATTGTAAGAATATGAAAATCTCTGCAACGACATGCATGGCAGGATTGTGCAAATAGTGAAGAAAGAAATTTTTTTGGAAAAATTGGAATAAATGGGTATTAATACGAAATGATATATCAATTAAGTCTAACCAAAAAATTGTTAATTTTTCTTTAAATGCACTAAGAAGTCGTACCGTAGGAAAAACCAGTCGTTTATCTGTGAATAACCTGATTGATATCAGTGGTCATAATGCATCAATATATTTTTTTCTTACGATTATCTTGACTTTCATTGCTCACAATGGACCTAGCCTTTCTTGAACTTCATTCTTCAATATTTTAAAGCTCCATTTCATAATTTAACAGGAAATTCATCGGGACGAAATGAAGTCCTGAGACTCATTTCGAAATACTTTCAACTTACTCTATGTGGATGGAATAAAAATCTTCATAATGACCTTAAAATCAAAAAGTACGTCATAAAATACTCAGGAGACCCTTAACAAAGGAAGAAACGGTTTTCAATCTTGATACTCCAAAGGACTCTTAAATATATATTTTACATAATTATATCATTTACGTGTGATCTTGAACAACTTAATTGTATGATGCTTAGTCTATAGCGAGACAAAGAGCTTGACATTGTAATTAACGAGGTTCGCTCCTAAGTTTTTCAGCAGATTTTTGTCTTGACCTCTATCTAAAAAAATCTACACAATGTTTTAGTTCTTAGTTCTTACAATGGATTTGGATTCTATAATGCTAATTGTAAAAGTTATATTCAATGAAGACCCCGTGATTACGTTCCATACCGAAAACATTTAGTGAGGAACTATATTTGGTGGCGGAAGGTTTTTTTTAAGAAGAAAAAGATCGTTTTTTGTCTTTAGAAGTATTCAGTATTGCTCAGTTTGGATTCCTATTTTTAAACGCAGGGTGCACACAGGGTAATTTTGCGCAGTTAAATATTCTGATCCCAAACTATATATCAACTGTCATGAATTCAGTCATCATATTTGATAAATATATCAAATACATCATGAAAGTCCTCGAAAAAATAGCCCAATTTAAGCTTAAAATTAGCACCATCTTAGTAATATCTAAAAATCAATATCTCAAACTGATAGTTTTCATTTTATTTTCTGATTATATCAGATGATTTTAACCACTCTGCTTAAATTCAGATAAAAGTCATTACTTTCAAATGATTATTTTTTTGTTTGCTTTTTAAATTTTGAACACTTGAAAAATAACATTTTTTGAGTGCAGAAAGGTCAAATAATTGACTATGCGGAGCAATGTGAAACTATTTTTGCTGTCACAATTTTTAATGTGACTATTTAAGATTAAAAAAAGACTGTGTTTGTCCAATTATTCATTTGGATAAAAAAAATACTAAAGGAAAAAAAAATTGAAAAATTGATATATACTGAAACACAGAAGAAATCCAACAAACAATAATCTACAAGGGTTTGATTTTTTTATCTAATGATTTTCAAAAAAGGAATACAGTAAGGCTAAACTCACTTTTCAGAACATCAGAGATTTTAAATTAATAGAAATGTTAAATGTTTATCTTTTTACTTTACTAAGTAACATATGACTGTTAAAACACCCCCCTCCCAGCCATTCATTCAAGTAAAACGTGCAAGACTGCCCTAAACAGCAATTGCAGCTTAATTTCCACGATACAATAGGTTCATCAATATCAAGATCTGAGCGAAGGAATTTTTCTTTGCCATTTTTAAATGCCCGTTTTTCAGATGATATGGTCGAATTTTCTCTAATTTAGAGCAACGTAGACACCCTTGGACTTCCAGTACAAGGACTGTCCTTAATGCATATGATACGTAAGACCTGTTGAGGCGTAATGTAGTGAATTTTTGCATCAGCAACTCTCCATCACCTTTACATTGAAATTTTCTAGCTAGAGCAATGAAAATGCGTACTTAAGCCATTTTCAAGAGGCCCTAGCATAATTACGGGAAACGAAAGGAGAATTTATTTTTTGAAATATTGCTGCAATACTTATAATGAACAGTAAAAAACCTTAAAAATCCATAATATTGTCAAATGTTTTGTTAAATATGCAGTTTTTGATTTCTGATAAGCAGACTCAAACTTGACTTCCGGTTATGGTATGAAAATCGTTCAACCGTTAAATTACCGATATTTACCAAATTGAAGATATCCATTATTTTAAGATACAAAATTATTTACTTTACATAATTAGTTCGCCATAAAGTATGGTGTTGCGTTTCTTTTGCGTGTCAATATATGTGTTAAGGTGCGGTCACACGTTGCTTTCGACTAAAATTGTACAGTGTGACTACCCAAATCGAAAGTCGAAAGCAAAATCTGAAAGTCGATTTAAAATCGGATGGGCGTCAGTTTTTCAATCGACTTTCTCAAGAAAATGGTGACATTACAATGACATTTCCCGCGACACGAAATTTAAAAAAAATGCATAATATGTCTAAAATAACAGTTTTTAACTTTTTATACATAAATGCACATGTGTAATGAAATTCGTATCTATAATATTATGCCATTCTTGTAAATGATTTATCACAAAAATGTTCGTTTATTTAAAGTGAATTAAATAGATTAAACTTCACACAAGTCATGTACATTATCAAAAATGAGGGTATTTTAATATTTCATTAAAAACCATCAGTGTTCAAATTATTAAAATTATACTGTAAATTAGAATTACAATATCCTCTATTGATCCTCTAGTAATAACTATTTAAAATGCTTTTTAAACTTTTCTACCATCTCGAGAAATTATTGGATCAAAATACCTAATGTGATTGAGGACTAACCGTATATTTTTTGTGGAAATATTCAGAGAGGTGTTTATATGGCAGTCATGCTCATCTATCTTATAGACTTAGCCTATAATTCTTAAACTACAATATTTATGTACATGTGTTAAATAATTGGTTTTCTTAACAAGCCGATATAGGCGAAACCATTGTGACATCAATATTAAAATTAGAAATAAAAAACAAGAAGAAAAAATGACCCTTCCTTAAATAAATATACGTACTGAACCGCTTACAAACACTTAAAATAATGCTTTTCTGTTCTTGAGGTTAAGTTCAGCAGATAATCTCTTTACAATCACATGATTGTTATAAGTACTCAGACGGAAGTATATAAAAGACACTTTTCGTCCAAACTATTCAGAATAGAAACAGTATTTTCCAATATGATGAAGAAAAGTGTGTTTTTCAGTTTTTATTTCATTTTTCTTTTTCAACTTTTAAAAGTGTATAATATATTTTCACAAGGACTTTATGAGGACAGAAGGAAATTTCAGGGACCTTTTACAGAAAATTTGAAAGAAAATGTCTGTACCGAAAGTATCAAAACATGTGGTGTTCTACTAAACGTATATCAGACCATGCATCGATTTACAACAGGAAAATTAGTTGAGGTTCAACAGTCTGGAACAAAGAACGAAAACACGGTTAGTTTGTACAAAAATAGGTCCCGAACATGCCAACTTCAACTTAAAGAAATGGAAATGAATGTTTCGGAGTCTTTAAATGCAATTGATTCTTTGAGCAAATTAAATTTGAATGCAGATCTCAAACTACAGGAGCTTCAACTTAAAATGAAAACAAAAACCAACAAAATGCTATCAGTAAACAAATCCCTGTCATTTTGTGAAAAGAAGTTAGATGGATGTACGTTTAACCTTGCAAACACAAGTCTTCTTCTTCGAACGACAAATGAAACAATTTATCGCGCAATCGAAAAAATGGAACAAAAATCACTTGAACTGAACGCCGAGAGAGCAAAAGTAGATGCAATCAACAACAGTTTAAAACAATGTAACAAAGTCCTTATGGAAGTTTACTCTAATGTCACCGATTTTTCCGAGGCCCTTAGATTAGTGGAGAAGACAGTATTAATACTTAAGAATGAGAGCTTGCGGTGCAATTTGATATTAAATGACACTTTATCAAACTTAAACGAAACATCGATAGAGTTACAGTCTTCTGAGATGGAGAAACAGAACTGTTTGAATCTTCTTGAAATACAGAATAAAACAAAATTAGAAAGTTTCCACAAAATATCAAAAATGAATAATTCCTTGAACAGCTGTGAACATAGCCTTGACATTTGTAGAGGGAATATATCTAAATACAAGCTAAATATGTCCTTAACTGAGCTCAGGCATTTGGAAATGATAAGCTCTCAGAAGACTATTACACAAAGATTAAAGAATGAGATTCTGGGTTTGGCTACATTGAACGATAGTTTGCAGAGATGTGAAGAAAACTTACAAGTTGCTTTAAGAAACTTATCTGAGTATGACGTCATAATCTCTACAATGAATACAAACTTATCCACTGCCATATCTTCATGTTCCAACGAAACAAGCGCATTAGAGGAAAGATTACAGAACTGTGAATCTTCACTTGAATCAACCACGAAAGATTTCTCTGAACTTGAAATTCAAGCAAAAAGAAACAATGTTACTTGCACTGAAACGCAAAGACTCCTTAAAAAGAAGACAGAAGAATTTGAGCGCAATTTAACAGAATATAAGTCTTTACTTGACAAATTAAAAAGTGTTCCTAAAAGTAAGTTTAAACATTTAATTTTATATTAAATAGAAAAACATTGATCATTGTATTATTTCTCTCGATTTCTGATGTTCTTTGTCTATTTGACATTCATTTTACAAAGAATCATGGACCGTTGACGATCTGTGTAGAAACCTTCCTAATTTCGTGTTCGAAGACAAGGAGCTGTGTCCTTCTTTCTATGATTGCAGTCAAAGTAGCCCATATCTTCAACAGTGTCCGTATCCGCAGTTGTTTTCTGACATCAACGCGAGATGTCAAGATCCAAGCACTGTAAACTGTGGCGAACGAAATATAACTTATGGTTGTAAGTAAAATACACATGACAAAGTTTACACATTTTGTATTTGTATTATCATCGTATGTTTAAAACCACCTTTAATGAAAATAATACCAAAACCCTATTTGATTTTGCCTCATTATTCATGAGTTATTTAAACTCATATGACGATACCAGCTCCAACCCCTTGTGGAAATTGAAATCTCTCCTTAACTTATCAACTTCTCCTCTGCGCCTTTGTCACAGCTTAATCCTCCCTCGCATGGAGTTTATCAGTGAGTTAATGTTTTAAAAAGGACTAGAGGTACTGTGAGCAATGAGCTCACTAAATAATACCCCGCCTCCCATATTAATATAATGGCAGTATCCATGTTTTGCTCTGGAAAATCCAAAATATATGTCAGATCAAAAAGTAAAATAGAAGATGCACAATGGCAATATGTAATAAAGATTCTGTGAAAGTTTCATTAAATTTTCTTCAGTGGTATGAGAGGAGTTGCGGATAAGAGATGGGTATACCAAAGCGTAACAGACAGAAGGACGGACATACCGATTACTAAATACCCTCCCACTTTTCAAGCAGGGGGGGGGGGGGTTATAAATATCACTAAACCCATTCAACAAGGCAGACCAGCTAGAGTATTTCGAATTCTATCTTTCACTTAGTCCAACAGATGTTCAATGAGAATAGTATCAACTTTACAGAAAGCAGTCGAATGGGTAAATGTGATTGTTTGCGAGAAAGCCTTGATAAAGTCAAGCTAAGTAAACACGCCGAAAAAAAGGCAGATGGCGTGAGCATGTGCCAGTTAGAGGAACAACAACGTCAAGTTGACCACCTCAAAAATCCGAATCGCGCAATCGGTTTCTGTTGATTTTTATGGTGAATGTAATGATTACAATAGCCTACTCTATTAACAGCAGTTTTTTGTAGTAAATTTGCGATAAAATAGGAGGCAGAATGAGTTACCCGAGCGCCTGGCGTGACTCTGTTACGCATCAACGTCATTGTCACGATTGATCGGAAACGGAAACTATCCATGACCCTTTCTGTCGACGGTTAAGACGTTCTATAGGGGTACATTTTCTAACTTCTGAACAGCAATACATTGTTGCTTCTGTTCTTACACAAAATCCAGACCCCATAGAACCCCCTTCAACTGTTATGTAAGATTGCAAGAAATGCATATCTTCTTTAAATTCTGAAAAAAACCCGAAGTATATTCCTCAAGTGCATGAAATGATTTAATAAGCATTGACAAATTTTTTTTCATCAAGTTGTACATGCCTTTGGTTTTTTTTTAGTGATCCATAGGTGACGTCATAAAATTCATGGTTGAGTAATTCTGAATACTGATTTTAGTGGATATTAACTAGGATTCTGATCTGACAAGTTTTCGTAATTTTAGTAATGCGGTCAGAAATTTCCCCCTAATAATGTTACCCTGTGTTTCTTTTTCCTTACAGTATATAAAACCTAAGTGTTCCGCTCACCGAAAGATGTATTATTTCGCAAACTCTTTCACATTATAAATACATTTTTAAAAATGAAGCGAGACCCACTTATTTGGAAAAAAAATATGTATCACAGTAAAAAAATATTTAAATTTTGCACTTTCATAATGTGTATATGCTTTATCCACAGAAACTTTTTTCAAGACATGAGACTATTTAAAATTATGAATATGTTTAATCTTTAATATTAAATGAAATAGCCAAAATTATATCGACTTAATCTTTCTACCTTATTCATAAAACCATTCATATTTTTCTTTTTTTTTTATCATTTTTAAAAATAAATATTCTTATTCTTAGCCATTGATGAAATGCAACATGTTAAATGTATATTTCATTTAATATACAAATACGACAAGTTTTATTAATCTTAATTTTGAACATAGATACCTGCGACTTTGAGAGTCTATCCGACTCCAACTGTTTCCTGGTTAATTCCGGTTCCGGAATATTCAGCTGGACAAGACATACGGTAAAACAGGAAATTCCATGGTTCAATACATTTATGGCACTTAATTAAGTCAAAATGTATCAAAGGTACATCACATTTGTTTTTTTAAGGGATCTACATCTTCTAGTGATACAGGACCGAGTTCGGCCTATCATGGTAGTTATTATATGTATATCGAAGCGTCCAGTCCTAGGAAGTATGGAGATAACGCAGTACTGGAAAGCAACAAAAGATTTCAAGGTATTATGTAATCGATATATCATGCAGAACGATTATATTTCTACAATGCCTCGTATGAAATAATAAAAATAACCAAACGTTTTACTTTCTTTATACTGCACTACTAATTTCCTTTCAGATTGTCAAATATGTAAAGATTTTTTAAAAAAGCAAATATCAAAACTATTAATCAGTTCTTTTCATTGTGATAAATTTCAAGTGATTAGTGAGAAATTGCATGAGATAAAAAAGGAAAATTACATTAAATTGTGTTCTAATACAACGCGTAATGATTAAATTAAAGGAAAATGAAGGAACATGAATATCTAAAATATAAAAAAATTATAATTTTCTTGATTTGACTTAAATAAAATATATTGCGATGATAGACAGTATTCAATCTCATTACATTTAAACAATTCAAATGAGAGGCAGAGCAAACATGGACCTCGAAATATAAGAAGTGAGATCAGGTGCCATGAATAAGTGAGCTTCCCCTGCCGTCTAATCACACCCTTTTTGTGCTCCCTGTCATGTTCGTAAAAAAATGAAAAAAAAAAAACTGATAAAGTGTGTAAATTGTGGTCTAAAAATCAGTATGAACAAAAGTCAATCAACATTGGACTTGATGATAAATTGAATAGATTGTATTTGATGACATGGTCATTGTACAGACCATAGAACTTGATGTGCTTAATTAATTCATGAACTTTCTTGTCAAGCTCACTTGGATATATCATATAAACAAAGAGCTGAAAATAACTATTTTTATTTATTGTATTTATTGAAATACGTCATTAAAATATCTAAATTTCAAGTTGAAGACCACCCTAAGTGCTTTCTTGTTTTCGGGAATAAGATTTTGAATAAATTCTCTGCTTCTTATAATTATAAAAAGAAGTCATGGATATATCTTAATTCTAAGTCATTCAGATTAATCGAAACTGGCTATTGATCAATATTTTCTTCTCTTACATCAAGTCATTCAAACTAAATATTGGCTTCTTACTATAATAAATACTGCCTGGTAGTTTTAGTTTGTTCAATGTTAGTTGGTTGCTTTTCTTGCTCAAAATTATTTTTAATTTATTTATTTTCCTCTTACTTTAAAAACAACATAAATTTAATATTTATACTCAGGCTTTTGATCTCATTAGCACTATGTATTATTGTGTCATAATATCAACTGCAGTACAACATATTATAAATAATATGTTTAACGGTGCAACCGTTGGGGCGAGTGCAGTTATTACTATCAAATTCTTTACATAGATTTAACTTGCACTGCCTATTGTCAGTTCATTAAAAAAGAGAAAACAAAACAAAGAAATCACTTCCCAGGCACCGGGATCTTGATTCCGAACTTCTAGGAAATTTCCGACAAAATTTGAAATACCCTAACCGTTTAAGTGGAGAAAGTATGACGTCAAATAAAAAGTTCTGTTGCCTTAGGACGTAAACGATAGTTTTTGTGGCATGGAGATTGCATTTTATTATATACCCATCAATTTCCTTGTTTTTGTTACTGTTAATTTTACAGAGTTTGATCCGATTTTCCGGATCACCACACTGTGGTTTTCTGAATCCATATCACCACTCTCTGAAACTGATGACGTAGTACGCAAAAACATGACGTTATTTTTCTTGCGCGTGAAAAAGTCCCTTGTTATTATGCTTTGTTTTATGGATAAAAATTATACAATTGATCTCTCAAGTTTTATTTCGCTATATTTTGCTAGTTGTAAGGGGGTATATAATAAATTCATCATTATAACAGTTACTTGATCAGAAGAGCTGTATCACGTCTCGTTGACAGGCGCGGATCATCAGATAAAACTCGACGCTTCGCGGCTCGTTAGATCTGATGATCCGCGCCTGTCAACTCGACGTGATACGACCTTTCGGATCAAGTTACTGTTATAATAATATATATATATCGTGTTTGAATTTTTTTCAAGTTAGTTGTTGCTATTTTTAAGCCGCTTTGTAGCTATGCACCACAAAGGATTATTGAGAGTTTGAAATTTTTTACGTAGGACGATAACAATTTCTTGGAACAATGTGCAGATTTAAACCCGAATATCCTCCGTTCGTACACGTCAGTCTATTGAGTTCGCTACGGGAGCGGCGCTTCGCGCCGCCTCGCTGCGCTCGCTATTAAAGCTTAATGGTGCGCCACTCGTAGAAAGATTAAACTTGTTTTAAAATACATTTTTATTGATACTTATTTATCATGACTCAAATCTCAAAGAAAATTGAAGCCAGTTTCTACTGCAAGGGTATTACCTTAACCTTTTTGCACTTAAAATTTAACTGTATGATTTCAGATAAAATCTACTGCCTAAGTCTCTTTTATCACATGCGTGGCTCTAATATTGGAAGACTGATAATCAAAACAGAAAACAGTTCTTATGGCAAGACTGTATTAAAACAAATTACTGGTGAACAAGGAAACACCTGGCAAAAGATGGACAGTCTTAATGTCAGTGTGAATCGAAATACAAAGGTAAAAGGTGTCTTTTATTCAAATCAAGATTCAAGTAAAATTTGTCACAAAAAAGTTTACGTTCACGAATTTAGCCGTAATTCTGTCTTAAGAAACGTCTATAAATTTTTTGTGAATTTAATATTTTATGATGTAATCTCCCTATTTATAATCAAACATATTCTAAAATTATCTACAGAAGCCCAATAGTGCAAACCAAAAATAAATAAAGAAAAACGAAATTATTAAATAAAGAAAAACGAAATTATTAAATAAAGAGAAACAAAATTATCTAATAAAGAAAAACGAAATTATTAAATAAAGAAAAACGAAATTAATATATAAAGAAAAGCGAAATTAATATATAAAGAAAAACAAAACTGATATATAAAGAAAAACGAAATTGATATATACAGAAAAACTAAATCATTAAATGAAGAAAAACGGAATTATTTATTTAATAATTTTGTTTTTCTTTTTTAATAATTTCGTTTTTCTTTATATATTAATTTCATTTTTCTTTATTTGATAATTTCGTTTCTCTTTATTTCATGATTTAGTTTTTCTTTTTTTTAATAATTTCGATTTTCTTTATTTAATGATTTCGTTTTTTTTTATTTAATAATTTTGCTTTTCTTTAGTTATTTTTGGTTTGCACTATTGGGCTTCCATAATTATCAGTAATGTACTTAAGTTTTCAAAGGTGAAAGAGTAATTTTTGCTACTTATTCTTCGTGCATGTTTCCTATTTTAAATTCAAACATTTAATTTAAAAAAATATCCAGTTTTATAGTACATTATTAAGCGAATTTTTAGGTCACCTGAGTAAACTCAGGTGACCTATTGTTATCTGTTTTCGTCCGTCGTCGTCCGTCGTGCGTCGTTCGTCGTGCGTTAACATTTGAACATTTTTAGCTTCTCTGAAACCACTGAACCAATTTCAACCAACATTGGCATATAGCATCTATGGGTGAAGATGAACAAAAATTGTGAATTTCATGGTCCCTGCCCCCCCCCCCCCCCTGCGGCCTGGGGGGTGGGGCAAAAACCATTAAAATTAGTGCAATCTTTAAAAATCTTCTTCTTTACTCCTGGACATCAAGCAGTCAAACTGTTGGTATGATTGTAATCAGCATTGAGTCCTCTACCAAAATTGTGAAATTCTTGGCCCCAGGGTTAGGGATTCTAGTGCTAGGGCGGGGCTAAACAGGTTATATAGTGAAAATGCATTATTTCTTTGAAATTCGTCTTTTCTGCTCCTGTGCATTAAATAAACTAACCAAGTGCAAAGGTAAGTTGAAAATGACCGCCTTTCCCAAAATTGTGAATTTCATGGCCCCAGGTTCAGGGGTTCTAGTGCTAGGGCGGGGCTATATAGATTATATAGTGAAAATGCACAAATTCTTTGATATTCTTCTTTTCTGTTTGTGGGCATTAAATAAACTAATCAAGTGCATAGTTATGTTAAATAAGACTGCCTCTTCTCAGATTGTGAATTTAATGGCCCCATGATCAGGGGTTCAAGTGGTAGGGTGGGGCTATATAGATTATATAGTGAAAATGCAAAAATTCTTTGATATTCTTCTTCTCTGTTCAAGGGCATTAAATAAACTAACCAAGTGCATAGCTATGTTGAATAAGGCTGCCTCTTCCAAAATTGTGAATTTCATGGCCCCAGGGTAAGGGGTTTTAGTGCTTGGGCGGGGCTATGTAGATTATATAGTAAAAAATGAATTATTTCTTTGAAAAATTTCTTCTTTGCTCCTGAGTATTAAATAAACTAACCAAGTACATAGTTGTGTTAAAAAAGTCTGCCTCTTCCAAAATTGTGAATTTCATGGCCCCTGGATTGGGAGTTCTGGTGTTAGAATGGGGCTTTATTGATTATATAGTGAAAATGCATAAATTCTTTAAAACTCTTCTTTTCTGCACCTGAGTATTTAACCAGTGAACTATGAACATAGTTATGAGGAGGAAGGATGCCTCTTTGAGATTTTTGAATTTCAGGGTCCGTGGGTTAGGGCTTCTTGTGTTAGGGTGGGGCCCTAATGTTTATATAGTGAAAGTGCATGAATCCTTTGAAAATCTTTTCCTTTTTTGTTGGGTATAATGCCAAATGCTTTTAATATACGAGGGCTGTTCAATAAATAATGTCCTGAACTATATGACATACATTACAGATATCGTATGACATTAAACTTGACTTTCTCTCATTATTAAATCTTTCATGAATTTATATCAGTTTATGTGACCACTTTTCATCACATAGTTTCATCGTGAGAAGCTGGGAAACAAGGGCTTTTCGAGACACTGCATTATAAATGAATGGTAAAGATTCAGTAAACTAAATTGAAAATAAAAGCTTCATTAAAGCTGCCGTAAAACTTGTTAAAAATCCCAAAGAAATATTTACTGAAATATGTGACATTTACAGCAACCAATGCCTGTTTTACAGACAAAAGAGCAGGTGGATTTCAATGATAATAAATTATATAATGGGCATCAAAAATGGGTACCGTCCTTGCCAACAAAAATTATAACAACTTATGTACTGTTCGCCAAATTTCAACAAATAATATTTGATGATGTATGATTGACTTTTAGACACATAGCAAATTTGATAGACATCACATCGGGAGTAGTTTACACTGTATTTAAGAAACGTTTGACGATAAAAAAGCTTGATACTCAAAGGTAACCCTATATTTTGAAAAATGAGTGAAAATGACAGCGTGTACGAAATTCTTAACAATTATTTTAAAATATCAGTAATTGTAGTTATCCACGTTTGTTTTATTTTCAAACAGATATTGGAACATGAATCTATTGCTTAAAACCCTAAAAACAAAATTTACCATAAGATGTACTTGATAAAAACGGCGAATGTCCGACAAGTGCACAGGTATGCAAGAGCATAAAGACAGATTTATATGTAATTTTCTTAAACATTAGTGGTATTGTTGTTCAAAATCGTATTGGGAGAGACATTTTAATTTCTGGAGGATTCTAGAAAGCACTTTTTTGGCAAAAAAATCAAAAGGTTTATTAGAGGAAGGACCCAGAATCTGGAATCCACTACAATGAATTTCTTCAAGACAGCGTCCAAACCCGCATGCCCTGAAGGGTTAAGGGGTTTTCGGGATAAACAGAAAGTTAATGTTTTTTCACATTAACAATATTCGCCAGATCTTTGGCCTTTTGACTTGTTTCTATTTCCAAACTTGAAAAAAACACTTTCAGAAGGAAGAAACAAGTCCGGGAAATCATTGGATCTGCCATTTTCCAGTATACTAAGGGTCATACCCAAAAATGAGTTCTACAAACGATCAGAAATTGGATAAAAAATGTTACGGACATGTACTTTACTTAAAAGAGATTAATTAGTAAAATCATGAAGAATAAATCATTGAAAAGCGTCTTTTGCTTCTTTCTGAGCACCGAGGACATTATTTATTGAACAGCCCTCGTATATTTGTGATAAAAAAAACCTGCTTCTTCCAAAAATCGTTAATTTCCTGGCCCCTGGGACAGAGGTACTTTGAGGGGGGGGGGGGGGTAACATAGTCTGAAATAATTTAATGCTTTGAAATCTGCACTTTGGTATTAATTAACAGCATGATGAAATTAGATTTTAAAAAATTTCCAAAATTTTGAAAGATATGGCCCCGGGTCAATGGTTCCTGTGGGATGGGGAGCTCAACTGTGGACCTGCGCTAACACAAGAAGACCTGACCCAGGGGCCCTGAAATTCACTAAAAGTGGAAATGCATTTTCTCTTTGTTACTCTGATCTACCTCTGGGTATTAAGTAACGAAAATAAGCATGCTGAGTGTATAATTATGATAAGCAATGGTGTCCCTTTCAAAATTGTGAATTTCATGGCCTCTAGTTTAAAACATGAATCAAATTCAATTGTTGGAAAGTTGTGGCATGATACTCAGGTGACTTATAAGGCCCATGGGCCTCTTGATTTATATAGATTCTCATCGAGGCTACAAGAGGAAGTAGTTATGAAGGTGATATATCAATTGATCTTGTTACCCTTTGGCCAAGGAAGTGTTGAACGTCGGGAAGAAAGACTAAAAGACAAGGCTTTTGGGAGTTCGTTTGAAAATTAGGAATAACTGAGAAAGGAATTTCAGGAAATATGGGCACTCTTTTCATCTAATTTATGTAAATGTTTAACACAGTCGAATTTTTTGTTAAAGGACAGATGATACAAACAATTTTTTTCTTTGAAAAGGATTTAATATCATGTTACAAATTTAGGAAAGTGGATGATTCTTGGAAATTTTTCTCCTAAGAACTGGAAAATGAAATAGACTTGGAAAATATTAGTAATATTTCAATGAAAAAACAAAGATAGACAAATCACATTCAGTAAAGGTTTACAGGTGAAAACAAATTTCAAAATATGTTACCTTGGTGCTAAAAGTGTAAAATAAACTTTAGAAAAATATACCAAGCCAGGTGAATTTTGTGAGGAAGATTAAAATGACAAAAAAATATAGCAATATCACATAAGCTGATTTTTATCATTTAGCTTTTCCCAATTAAATTCACCTGGCTTGGTATATTTTTCTTAAGTTTATATTACACTTTTAGAACCATGGTAACATATTCTGAAATTTGTTTTCACCTGTAAACCTTTACTGAATGTGATTTGTCTATATCTGTTTTTTCATTGAAATATTACTAATATTTTTCAAGTCTTTTTTTATATTCCAGTTCTGAGGAGAAAAATTTCTAAACTTGTGACATGATATTAAATCTTTTTCAAAGATAAAAATTTGTTTGTATCATCTGTCCTTAATGATGTAAATACCGGTAATATAATCAAATTTTAGAATATTTTGTAATCATACCTAATACCTAGATTATTTGATTTAAGATAATTTGTAATCAGTTGCTTTAAATGCTTAAACTAAAGTATTTTTATTCAAATCGCAAATTTTATCGCAAATTAAGCGATTTGTCCTTAAAAATTGGTATTTAATTTTAGCGAGATTTGATTTTAGCGACTTAAAAAAGCTCACTAAAGAAGGTATTACAAATTCACACAAATTATTTTCAGCGATATTCAATTTTAGCGATCTTAGCACCATCGCTAATAATGTCAAAATTAAATCCTCGCTAAAAATTCTGCTTATACGGTATTCATCATGTATCAATCGTATCTTTTAATTGATTTGCAAAGTTTTTCCTTGAACAAATTGACGAAAAATAACATTTGTAGATAGAAGGACAACCCTTGTCGATTGATGCGTTTTTACAAGCATAAAGAACTTTGTGATATTCTGATCAGCATGTAAAAAGCAACGTTTTTTTTTACGATTTATGAATATTTATAATTATATAATTCAATTTAATTATTTGGACACAAAATACTTTTTTAAATGTTATCTTGAGATAATAAATCATTAATAGCCATCCTCTGTATGCATTTAAACTCTTATCTATATGGGGAGTGTGGCACGCTATGTCTAGCATTTTGAATGAAATTTGGCACACATTCCTATATTGATGTATGAAACTAAAATTCATAATAAATGTTGCTATGGTCCATGGTTACCATGGAAACCAACATTCATTTTTCATGGCCTTAAAATCGCTTAATTTTTATGAAAAATAACCCTTTTTTGACTTAAGAAAACTCATAATTGAACAAGATATTCACATGACTTTATCTTTTCGCGAAAATAAATCGTTTTATAGTTCTTTTAATTAAATACATTTTAGTATTTCAGTAACTTTACCTCATAGAAAAATATCCCCCCGTTTTAGGTAGGATTTCTTTTTTTTTGGGGGGGGGGTTGTAAATTTTAGTCTCTTTTGAAAAACCTGGTATAATTTTTTGTGGACAGTTGGGGAAAAACATTAGTTTGAAAGTCAATATATAGTTCTAATATAAACTACAAAGAATCACTTGGTATTCATATTTAGTTTTCATGTAACCATGGTTACAAACGTATGCTTTTTTATATCCAGACAAGGACAATATGTATATACAATCAGTTTCCATATAATTACCTGAGTATTTTAAATTTTATTAAAACAAATTCAGATATCTACTAAACAATAGCAAAAATAAAGAGAAAAAAAAATAAAAAAAAAAAAATAAATAAATAAATAAATAATTTTCATGACTGAGGGTCAAAGGTCTAGGTCAAAATGGCAGATTTAGATGGAAATTTAAGGAAATTAAACTTTTTTCTTGGTCATAACGAATACTTGTGTTTTAAACAACAAATGAATAAACAAAATAAAAATTCTGGTTGGCAATAACTAGCATCATATAATTAAGTGAATTTTATATGCACAGGTTAAAATCAAAGTTCAAGGTCACAATTGTGTATAAATTTTGCCTTTTTGTCCCCCTGCTTTCAATAAAAGTGGGGAATATTACTTTAGATCTATCTGTACATCTGTCCGACTATCAGTCTAGTGCAGTCAAATAAAACCTTAAAATTTATTAAATGACCATGAAATTAAAGTATGCTACCATTCTTCCGTAATATAAACAATGTGAATTATTATTGGGGAATTGATTATTGAATTAGTTTTTAAAAGTCACAAAGCAAGTTTACAAATTATAAAAAGAGTAAATTTATCTTAAAAATACCATGAATCGGGATTTATTTCTTTTTGTTTTGCTTGTGTTCACCTGACCAATTAATGTGTATAAAATGGTATCAACACACGCTGTTTCAATCGCCTTTGGGCAAAAAAATCTATGCATGTTATTTGGGTATACGTATCAATGTTATTGGTCATGCTTAATAATGATACTATGATCTATTTAAAACTAATTCTGGTGGAAAAAATAAATTCAAGTTAAATTTTCTGTGTGAAAAAATAAATATGGGAACCAGTATCAATCACAGAAAATAATGGGATTGAATTATTAATACTAAATGATTGTGATTAAATATTCATGATAAGTGTAATTCATACATGTAGGTACACAATGTCATGTGAAAGTCTTCCTCCTTCAATAAATATTATTTCAAATTGTTTCTGTGCTCGTACTGTTCATAAATGACCTTCGCATACATGTTAGGATTTCTAGCATACTCTTCATAATTAATTTCAACTGCCTTTTATAGTTCCATTGTTCATTCATTTGGAAATCTCATTTCTCAGTTAGCTCCACCCATTAAATTAATAAACACGCCCACTGGGACTGCTGTGATTGCTCTTTGGGACCGCTGGAACTGCTGGGGCCGCTTTGGGACTTCTGTGGGACAACACTGTACTCTGGGACCGCTGTGGACTGCATTAGCAGTCCCAGAAAGCAGTCCCCAGGACTGCTCTGGGACTGCTTTGTGTCAGGTTGGGTCTGGTCGTACCGTAGATCAAGTTGGCATTTCGTTCTCCTTAATTGATTTTGAAGGAATTATGGCATTATATTTTTTTTATAATTGAGTTCACGATAGGGTTCGTGATGCACTGAATTAATGTCGTGATGCACTAAATTAACTTTCTAAACGAGATTCTTGCTGGATTGTTTTACAGTGACAAATAAAGATCAAGTTGGATTAGTTGGTATGGATTTTTTTTAATCTCGTAAAATGAGCTGTTCTGATCAAAGCATGCATCTGTGTCAAATGGCTATCAAAGACGTAGTCTTTCTTTGTAAGGTAGAGGAACTTAATTCCAAGACATTTCATTTATAAACAAGTAATAACCGAGATGTCCATAATTTGGTGGCGATTTTTCATACACAGAGTCTAATAAAATGACACCCTAAAGAGAAAAGGGGATCTGGTAGGGGACATGTATTGCTTATGCAATACTCTCATAATGCTTGTTAAAGATAGTTGTGATCCACTAAGAAACAGCAATACACTTTTAAAGTCTTTATCTTAAGAAAGATTGATTTTATTATCCAAGAAAAACTTTATCTTCGATCATTTGTCAACAAATGAGCTATTGTATTACCAATTCTTGATAACATGGATAACAATTATGTTCAATTTAGAAAATATTGAAGATGCCTGAATTTCCAAGGAACTTGCAGAAAATGTGCCTTTGTCTGTTGCTTCCTCGTTTGGTGTAGGACAAAATGCTTCGGCATTACAGTGTTTGCATTTAAAGCAGAAGTGGAGCATTATCATTAAAAAAAACCTCGTGTGTCAAATTTTGACATGTACTTGAATAAATTATCATTAAAAGGCGAACACAGAAATACACGAAACAGTTTGTTTTTATAACGAAAACCAGTGTGGAGTTAAAGGTTTTTCTTCTTTATATCTTACTTTATTTAATGGAGAGAATTATTATAGGCCGTTGGCCTGCTGTTCAATCCAAATTCATATTGTATACTTTGTATATTTCTTAAACTATAGCTAATCTGAGCGAAGGTTTTAAATGAGCTTTTCTGATCAAACGACTTGATCTTAACATTGGAAAATAACGTACTTTAAGAAAAACTTTAACCTTGGCTTTACTTTTTGAACGGTAAAAGCAAGGTTTTTATATTTCACATATTTAATCCTTTTGAGAAGACCTATTAATGGATACCAATACCTTTTTCCCTTTGACATTGACCTTGGAGTTTGAACTACTTTTTAAAAACAAACCATGTCTATAACTTTTAAAGGGTAAGGGCTAGGACTTTCATACTTGAAATGTAATCCTTGTGACGAGACCTAGCTTGTTTTATAAAGTATGTCAAACTTCAAGGTCAAAGGGTTAAAGTTATTGATATCAAATAAAAGACCTCACAAGGATTACATATTATTTTAAATATGAAAACCTTAGCCCTGACCATTCAAAGGTTATGGCCAAGGCTACAGTGTTTCACAAGTACAAAGATCCCCAAGGTCAAAGTGTCAAAGTTGTTGGTATGAGAAATGAAAGGTCGTGCCACAAAAAAATAAAATAAAATGTAAAGTATGAAAGTCCTAGTATCTTCCGTTCAAAAATAATGGCAAAAGTAAAAGTGTAGAAGTTTTGTGTAAAAGTGGGTCAAACTCAATGTCAAAAGATTGAATTTGGTGGTACCTAGTATCTCATTAGAAATACACATGTGAAATATGAAAGTAATCGCTCCACTTAATCAAAAGTTATGGGAAAGGTTAAAAATTTTAGTAAGAGTTATCTTCCTCTATTTTTAATTAATACAAAAAATAAATAAACAATAACTTATCTGGGCAAAAAATTCTTTTAAATTAACATTTTATTTCAAATGTTTCA